TCTATTAATGAATACATGTCGTCGTTAAATTTGACTGAGGGACGCACGTATTTAAGTTCATACAGTATGTGTAATCCGACTCCAATACCGACTTTGTGGCACAACTCCATACTCCTGAGTTCTTGAACACTATCAAGTGTTCTGGAATGCCGAACCATGAATTGAATTTGAAGGTCGGAACTCCAGTTATGTTGTTGCGGAATATGAATCACTTAATGGGACTCTGCAATGGTACACAATTGGTTGTGACTAAACTCTCCAATCATGTTCTCGAGTGTAAAATTCTTACTGGCGATCATGCATGTGATAAAGTTTTGATACTTCGGATGACAATAACTCCTTCTGATGTTAGAGTACCATTCAAATTTGAAAGAAGGCACTTCTCCATTATGGTTTCGTACGCAATGACTATAAACAAGAGTCAAGGTCAATCATTATCGCATGTTGGCTTATTCTTGAAGAAACCAGTTTTTAGTCATAATCAGTTATATGTCGTTGTCTCCCGTGTTACTAACAGCAAGGGTCTGAAAATTTTAATTTGTGGAGAAGAAGGTTTGAAAGAAAATCAAACCAATAATGTTGTGTATAGAGAAGTGTTTAATAATGTATGATCTTTGTTTATATTTTGTATTCCTCTATCCTCTTTCTATTGTAATTAAATAATTAATTTATAAAAAAATATTTAAAATAAAGTTTTAAAAAAAAGGTTTGAGGAAATAACCATGTCGTGTTGCGCACGGGTACCATACTAATTTGAAAAACTACGTAAACAAGTTTATCAAATAAGCTTGAGCTTTTTAAATAAGTTCGTCCTACCAAACATGTTATTTAAATACAAGGAGTTTATAAGCTAATTAAATAAGCTATAAGCTAGCTTTGATTTACCAAAACATAGCCTAAATCAAATCCTCCCACACCAAAATTCGTTTCAACGACAAGCACGTCGTTTGAAAAGTCCAACAAATTATTGAGTTGCCCGTCCAATCTTCTCATATTCTTTGTTTCTCACACGACAAAGTACATTCATCCAACAGAAAACACAATTCTCATCTCTCTCACTTCCAATTTTTCAGGCAATAAAAGCATGAATGAATACCTTTGGACGTTGTTTATGAGTTATCAAATTCAAAATGTCACTTTCATATCTATTAATATATAAAGAGGAATGATATTTATTTGAAAAAAGATGAAAAAAAATCAGCAAAAAAAAGAAGCTAATTCCCGCCCAAAGTTAATATGAGAAAGATTTTTGGCTAAAAATTAAAATTTGAGCGCCATCCAACCAATTTTGAAAATTTTGAAAAAATAAATAAGTTAAAAAATCTAAATAAAAAGATTACATGAAGATTTTTTGGAGATTCCATATTATCTAACTTTCATACATTAGGAATGAGCCACTTGTCGTAGTTTCATTGGTCCACTATAAATTTTATATGATAAGATAAGTATAACTCAAATTATTGCTATTATTTTGTTTTAAAAAATAAAATAAAAATACTAAAATTCGTATTTTTTCATACTCTATAAATAGAGACCACTCTTGATATGTTTGGAACACAATTAAAATTATTATGTTGGGTTAAGTTGAAGATAAAACAATACCAAAAAATGTATTGTAGAATAATATTTATTAAATAAATAAATAAAAATAAAATAAATATTATACTATCTTTATTAGGTCACCAACTAAAAAATAATAAAAAAATAAAAAAATAGCAAAATCCGCGACTCAGGTCAAATTGTGACCCTACATCGCAACCTAGCCACAAGGAGGGAGAGAGAAATGAGGTGAGTGAAATGGGCAAGTGTCTCATTCTTATTGGTCTATAAAATTTTCTATAATAAGATAATTGTAACTCAAATTATTGATATTAATTTATATGAAAAAAATAAATAAAAATTTATTTTTCATTCTCTATAAATAGAGACCACTCTTGATATATTTTGGAACATAATTGCAATTTCTATCTTTTCACTCTTTTTTCTTAACCGTAACTTATCAATTTTATCATATCTTTTATTTTATCATATCACAACTAAAACAATAACAAAAAAATTATTGTAGATAATATTTAATAAATATATAAATAAATATAAAATAAATATTATGTTGGGTTGAGTTAGGTTGGGTTTGGGATAAAGGACTATTCTACTATGCCTTTTCAAGATATGAGTAGTATTAATTCAAGTGCGAACCGTCTGGTTTTAGATGAACTTAACTATGACCGTAAGGCTCTAGCTATTGAGCATGATGCATTGCTGACACATATGACCGATGAACAGAATGGTGTTTATTCCAAAATAATGACATATGTTCATTCCGGCAGGGGCGGCGTTTTTTTGTGTATGGTTATGGTGGAACTGGAAAGACATACTTGTGGAGGACTTTAGCTGCTTGGCTAAGATTGCACGGTCGAATTGTGCTTTGTGTTGCATCAAGTGGAATAACATCTTTCCTATTACCGGGCGGACGAACTGCACAATATTCTCGATTTGGCATTCCTATTTCTGTGCATGAAAATTCATCGTGTGAGATCAATCAGGCTAGCCCCCTTGCTGAGTTGATTATTCGCTCTTCATTGATCATATGGGATGAGGTCCCAATGATGCATAAACATTGTTTTGAAGCTGTTCAAGCATCTTTTAAAAAGTAATGGGAGCCCTCGACCCGACAAATCATCATAAACTGTTCGGAGGCAAGACTGTTGTGTTTGGTGGAGACTTTCTACAAATCCTTTCAGTAGTTCCAAAGGGTAGTCGTCAGGAGATTGTTAATGCTGCTATTAACTCTTCTAGCATTTAGGGAGAATGTACTGTGCTTAGGCTTACAAAGAATATGCGTCTTCGGAGCATTGGCGATTCGAATGAACATGACGAGTTGGCCGCTTTTGCTGATTGGATAGCGAGCATTGGAGATGAAACATTGAGGGGTAAAAATGATGGATTTTCTCCGATAGACATACCAAATGATCTATTACTAGAGCCATCCGATGATACAGTTGCAAAAATTGTTGAAAGCACAATTTTAATGTTCAAGAATGCAACCGACGATCCAAGTTACTTGAATGATAGAGCTATACTTGCGCCAACACTCGATATCGTAGAATCTATTAATGAATACATGTCGTCGTTAAATTTGACTGAGAGACGCACGTATTTATGTTCATACAGTACGTGTAAATCCGACTCCAATACCGACTTTGTGGCACAACTCCATACTCATGAGTTCTTAAACACTATCAAGTGTTCTGGAACGCCGAACCATGAATTGAATTTGAAGGTCGGAACTTCAGTTATGTTGTTGCGGAATATGAATCACTAATGGGACTCTGCAATGGTACACGATTGGTTGTGACTAAACTCTCCATTCATGTTCTCGAGTGTAAAATTCTTACTGGCGATCATGCATGTGATAAAGTTTTGATACTTCGGATGACAATAACTCCTTCTGATGTTAGAGTACCATTCAAATTTCAAAGAAGGAACTTCTCCATTATGGTTTCGTACGCAATGACTATAAACAAGAGTCAAGGTCAATCATTATCGCATGTTGGCTTATTCTTGAAGAAGCCAATTTTTAGTCATGGACAGTTATATGTCGTTGTCTCCCGTTTTACTAACAGAAAGGGTCTGAAATTTTTAATTTGTGGAGAAGAAGGTTTGAAAGAAAATCAAACCATAATGTTGTGTATAGAGAAGTGTTTAATAATATATGATTTTTGTTTATATTTTTTATTCATCTATCCTTTTTCTATTGTAATTAAATAATTAATTTATAAAATAAATATTTAAAATAAAGTTTAAAAAAAAAAAGGTTTGAGGAAATAACCACACCGTGCTGCGCACGGGTACCATACTAGTTATTATTAATATTATTATTATTATTATTAATATTACTATTATTATTAATATTATTATTGTTATTTCTTTTCCTTTTTTGGTCCATCACTCTCTCTCCCTTAAAGTGGGCACGCAAGAGAAAAAAAAGGACACGAAGATAAGAAGCTCGTGTCCACGTAAAAGGCCGAACGAATTTTATACACTTCACAGCCCTCCAAAATCATAATGTAGGTTTGAATGAATTTATACACTAACAGCCCTCAAAAATCATAATGTAGCTCTCAAACCATCAACCTCTGGTCTCTGTAGCTATCGTCCCGAATTATTTGACTTGGCTGCATTAGCTTTCTGGGACCACTCTGCTTCGAAAGTCTTAATTATCCTTCACGATTCCATCTAATCTTGTCTCGCTCAGATTTGAATCTAACAAAATGAACCTTTCGTATACAAGTAGGGCACACAACGACAAGTCGCCCTTGTAGGATTAGGAGCACAAAGTTGCATGGCTTCGCCCACGAACTTTTATTGACATTGTTTGAATTATTGGCATGAGATCTTCCATTATCCTCTCAGATTAAATCCTTAACCATGTGTTGTTTGATTAATTGGATAATTATTATCAGGAGATTTGCTGTATCTTCTCGCGTTAAATGCAAATGCTTAATCAGTGTTGTATAGTAGCTACGATGAAACAATTCAAATAGTTAACTAATTTGAAAGATTGATACCAAGATTCATCTCGACTATCAGGATCGTCAAACTTAATCGTATGGAGATGCTTTCGGATAAATTCGATTTCGAATTAAACCATTATACATGTTATTAAGCATAACCAGTCAAATCAATTCACACAGATTATGCAGAGTAAAGCAGTCTAGATTCAAAACTCCACATCCAAAAGCCATTTTGAACATAGCTAAGAGTGAAAAAGGAGAATGCCTGAATAACCAGAACAACAAGAACAACATTTAACAACACGAACACCAAGTTCGAGAGACTTCAACATCATCTAATCATATTCGTCTACCGAGACAACATAGACACGAAAAAACACACATAGACACGAAAAAACACAACTCGAATTCTAAACAAACCAACTTTTAGAAGAACCATGAATAATCAAGAATCTTCACCTTCGGAAAAATCATGCGAGCACATCATCAGCAAGGATCGCGAATCGCCTGCATCGGGCAGGGCAATTTCCACGGCTCGAGCACTGAATCAGAAGAAGGGACATCCGGAACATCAAGCGCCATGCCGCTCACCTCAGACGCGATCTGAATCACGGAATTAAGCGATCTCAGGCGATCGGTAAGCTCGACTGCCCGAGCCCTTAGCACATTGTTCTCGGATGCAAAACCGATGTACAATTGAGAGGCACTGTCGATCATTTGCATCACCTTTTTATTCTCCTCCTCCAGTTGGTTCACCTGCCCCATGAGCTCGTCCAGCCGTTGCTGCTTCCTCATTCGAGACCTGCGTGCCGATTCGCGGTTCGACTGCTTCCTCTTCCTCTTCCTCTCGTCCTCCATTTTCAGGGTTCACAAGTTGGGGGATTCTTCGATTTATTTATTGAAGATTATTTATTTAGAATTATTATTATTAATATATATTAAGCAGGGGAGCATTCAGAAGGTGGCCGCCGGAGCTAATTCAGAGAAAACATAGAACCAGTAGAGGAATACTACGGAGAAAGAGTGGATAACCCTAATTCGGAACATCAGAAGAGTGTACGCCATGGAAATTGAAGGGTTGTAAAATACATATTCAGTATTCTCACAGAGACGCGGCGTTTCGCGGCGGATTAGGAAACTCCGGTGGGATGAAACGGAACGGATCTGAAACACGGCGAACAAACGCAAATTCGTCAGCCGATCGATCAACAACGCAGCAAACGTCTGATAAACAAAAAATAAAAAATCCGGAAAAAAAAATTGAAATGAATTACAACAAGAACAATCAATGACGAATCAACACGATTGTATCAAATTTTGAAGAAAAACACAAACGAAATTGAGGAAATTTTGAAGAAAAACACAAACGAAATTGAGGAAATTTTGAGTAAAAATGCAACGAAAGAAGGGAAAATATTTAATAACAGAGAAAACAAGGGAAATACGTTGTAATTTGTAATCGTTGGATTATCGTGTAAACCGTAGTTGATCTAACTGTTACAAACTCAGACGGAATGATTCCGTAACCTGATAGAATGATTCCGAAACGAGACGATAGCATCTGTGGAGAAAACAATTGCTCTAAAAGGAAAAAAAGGGATAAATGAGAACTGAACTGACCTGTAGGATAGCGGGCAAAGTTTGGCGAAAGAAGGTTTTGGCGGATGGTGGGAGGGGGGGATTTATAGGGAACGCGGAGAGTTTATGGCCGTTGAAAAAAATAAATGGATTTTTATTGAAATTTGATTAATTTAATAAGTTTTTGGGATTACTTTATAAGCGAAATTTTCGATCGGTCGGTGGAATAGTTGGGTGCAACGTGCCCATTCTGCTTATGTACGTAATTGATAAAAATAACTTTTTGACGGTGAACTTGTTCCATCTGCAATGCTCTAGTATAGGGTTGTAAACGAATCGAATCAAAGTCAATACTCAGAGATTCGATTCGATTTGTTTAAAATATTCGAAGATTCGATTCGTGATTCGATTCGATAACGAATTCATTTTTTGATTCGTATTCGATTCGTTTAGAATATTCGAACATATTCCGATTCGAAATTCGTTTTAAAAAAAATATTATAATTAAAAATATTATAATTACAAAAATAAATTTTATTTTTCATATATTTTTAGAAAATTTTGTTAATTTATGATGTTTTTATTTTTATGTCATAAAAATATTAGGAATATAACAATAGATATAGAGTTATATACATATATTATAAACAAAATGTATATTATATATAATTTGTATAAAAATATTATAATTAAAAAATATTATAATTACAAAAATAAATTTTATTTTTCATATATTTTTAGAAAAAATTGTTAATTTATGATGTTTTTTTTACTTTTTATGTCATAAAAATATTAGGAATATAACAATATATATACATATATTATAAACAAAATACATATTATATATAAATTGTAAAATTTATATAATTATTGTTAACGAATCGAATATTCGAATTTCGAATCGAATATCTACACATTCGGATTCGAATTCGTTATCATTTCGAATCTAAAACATCATTCGAATTCGAATTCGAATCATGAATATCGAATTCGAATCACGAATCGAATAAAAAATGTTTGATTTGTTTACAACCCTACTCTAGTCTTGCTTAGATGGTGACATGTAAATAAACTCAAGTATATGAATAAAAATATATAAAATTAATAGAATTCACTAAATGCAAAGAGACTAAGTTTAAGTTTTTAGTATAAAATAGACTTAAAGGTTGACTCAATTTTTTTGTCTGGCTGTCACATCAATATGACATAGTCTATTTTGTTTGCATTGAAAAATACAATTTTTTAAATTATATCTATTTCTTGTGTGACATACAATTTTTTGTGTTTGAACTCAAAATCTTGTGGATGTTCGATGTGATTGAATTTTGTTTTTTTTTTTTTCTTTTTAAATGATAGTTGGAAAAAGGGAATTAAAAGGTAAAAACAAAATAAATTTAAAGGGGGGATTGATATTGAAATATATATATAAATAAATATCTAATAATTATAATGGATGTGATAAAAATTATAAAAATATAAATAATATCGATTGGCAATTAGAAACTAGAGCGTAGCCAATAAAATAAAACTAAAAATTCCTATTGCGTTGATCGATATGAGCATAGACAGCCAAAACTCGGGCCATCAGGTTAGGTTTCGATGACCCTGAACCGACACGGACCTAGAGTCGTGCTGGGTCCACGACCCTGCGGGGTGGGCTGGGCCCGACCCGGGTCTAGACTCGCTCACATAAAGAAATTAAAACAAAAAGAAAAACTTTAAAAAACAATGTATTTTTCGAGCCGGCCGGGACCCGACCCGGCCCGCCGGAACGAGGTCGAAAAAAACAAGACCCTTGACCAGCCCGTTTGAAATCCGAGCTGGGTCCGGACCCGTGGTCAATGAGTTTGACCGGGCCGGCTCCGTGCCGAGTCCGGGCCGGGTGACCCGTGGCTATATGAGCATAGATTATTAAACACTTCAATATTTGAAAATAAATAAGTTATAAAATAATTTCAATTATAAATAATAATAAGGGTTAATTGTTAAATAAATCTTTTGCGTTTGATAATTTTATCCCAATCTTTGGGTAATTGTAATATAATCTCGACCTCAATTTACTTATTTCAAATTTGGTTGCAGAGTGATTGATTTTAGGGATTTGTGGATCAATTTTGTGTCCAAGTCCATTGACACGAATTTTTATGTCATCCACGTAACAAGTTGACAATTTTCACGTATTTAATATATATCCATGAACAAAGCCGAAAATTCAATGTTAATGTAAGCCTCCTAGATCTGGAGTGAACCGTAAATATGATCTCCGATCTGTACGAACCGCCTTCAAATCGACCAGTTTTTTGAAGGTCCAACCGGTTTTAGGTTCGACTTGCAATAAGTAAATTGAGGTCGAGATTATATTACAATTACCCAAATATTGAGATAAATTTGTCAAACGCAAAATGGTTAATGTTTATTTAACAATTAACCATAATAATAATAATAATAATAATAATAATAATAATAATAATAATAATAATAATAATAATAATAATAATAATAATAATAATAATAATAATAATAAGGTTGTATATTTAAGATGTGCACTTTGATTTTTCATACTATAGAACTCATCTAGTTGAGTATGTGTCAACTTCGTATTTTCATGGAACTCATCTTCCATCTTCTTTCAAAAATGAGTTTTAATAAGTTCATTGTTGACAAGGAGCATTCGGTTTTTGCAGTAAAAAATGGAAGCGTCAAAATGAGTTGATTCATTATGTCAATCAAATGGTAGTGTCGTGTGTTCTCTGTCTCAAATGATTGCCGACATAAATCAAAAATTGTAGAAATATTTTAGAGCTTTTTGTCGTGTATGTACGGGTCTGGACCGAACGAACGAAGTCAAGGTCAATTACGAGACGGATCCTTGCTCGCACCAGTGAAAATGAATGGATTGATCGAAGAAGGACCGTATGTAATACCGAACGGCCGCATGAGAGATTAAGTGATAGATCAACCTTAATCATTACCAAAATCGTCCGTACAATACGCATTAAATGATATGATGATTTTATTGTAAATGATATGATGTAAAGAAAAGAATAATAAATTAAAAATTTATCAAATATATAAGACTCAAATATCAAAATATAACTAGATGAAATAATTATGAAGTTAATAAATTTTTAAAAGAAAGTTGCTAAATTGACCCCGCAAAATAGGCTAACTTACAAAATTGGTCCCAAGTAGGCATGGCAAAAATCGGGCCGGGTCACGACCCGGCCTGGCCCGCCGGGCCACCGGGTTGGGTTTTGACGACCCTGAACCGACACGGACATAGGGTTGTGCCGGGTCCATGACCCGGCAAGCCGGGCCGGGCCCGACCCGGGTCTGGACCCGGCCACATAAAAAAATTTTAAAAAAAAAGAGAAAAGAATTCAAAAGCAATGCATTTTTTCGTGCCGACACGGACCCGGCCCGCCCGCCGGGTCTAGGTCGAAAAAAACATGACCCTTGACCGGCCCGTATGAAATCCGTGTCGGGCCTGGACCCGTGGTCAATGGGTTTGACCGGGTGTTGTGTACAAATTATTCTTTTTACCGAGTACCGAATCTAAAGATTCGTTCCCCGGGTCGATCTCACGAGGAAGGCTGTTCGAAACTTAGTTTTGATATCGATAACACATAAAAAGAAAACAAACCTAAACACTCTAATAGAATAAGGATGGATGAATAATTATCAGCTAAGAAATAATAAAACGCAATAACCTACCTAAGAAAATAAACGAAACAATGAAAAAGAAGCTAGGGAGTCGGGGATGATTAATTCAAGTTCTAGCAAAACCGGGCAATCATTTGTTCGGTTCAAGATTGACACTCTCGCTTAGACATCCAGCGGTTCGCTCCCAATAACTCTACGTAACAAGGGATTGAACATGGACGAACAAGTTCGAGCATACGACACAGGCCAATTATCCCAATCCCAATAACTTTTCGTAACAAGGGACGGGCCATTGACAAGTACGTATTTCAATTTAAAACACGTAGATTAGTCAATTACCACATCGTCTACCTCATGTGAGCCTAAGTCTACGACTTCTCCCCTTTCGGTTCAAAAAGTCGCTAATTTAACTAGAAGAGTCTTAATCGACTAATCACATAGAATCAACGAAACCCTAACTCGACTAATCAACATTCAATTGTTACCAATTGCAAGATCGAAGTGTCACTCTTCGATTATATCAATCAATCAAGCAAGAATATATCAATCCCTAATCGAAACAACTCACATAAGAAAGAACAATTTCAAGCCCGAGAGATGCACGTTAAACAAGAACAATCATTCCCCTATCCCTAGCGATAAGATTAGCTACGTAAATTCAATCCAACACACATAATCAATTCTCACAATTCAACCATTATTTATGAATTAAACATAAGAGAAAAGAAACTTACGATTAATCTCAAATCCAAGTGTTGAATCCAAAATTACAAAGCTTAATCTTTGAATTCCAAGAAAAAAAAAGGAAGAAAAATGTAAGAGAAAGATGAAAGAAGAATGAAGAAAGGAGAAGAACAAGAGGGGAAGGAAAAAGGAGTTTTTGTTCGTGTTTTTTTTGCCCTAGGTTCGTCCCCAGGAGGGGGAGAGAATGCCCCCAAACGATTCTAAAATCTGTTATTATAATTGCTGAAAATGCGAGCTCCGCGGCCGCGACTTGATCCCGCGGCCGCGACTTTTTGCGTCTGTCCGCGGAGAAATTTCTGCTGTGCGCGGCTTTACGTTTCGGGCACGTTCGGGCTCGTTTGAAGTCGGAATTGAGTTCCGTTTTTTCCTACGCGTAGCTAACATACTCCTCTATCCAATGGTGTCAGCTTACCCACAAGATTCTCGAAAACTGGTTCTCCCGAAGCTTTTGACCATCACACTAGAGACGTTCGCATGCGACTTCGCGCGGCTTCGCGTTTTGGCTCCGTCCGGATTCATCCAAACTTGAAATCCAATTCCGCCTTTTCCAATGTGTAGCCAACAAGTCCATCTACACAACCATGATTGCCCGGTCTATTGTTGAGCTAAATCGACTCCTCACGAGACTTTCGACCTGCACACCAAAAATAAGAAGAAAAACCGGAAAAACACACGAAAAACACAAAGAAAACCAAAATGGAACATAACACATAATAAAACACAAAACAAACTAAAAACTCACGAAAGGACCTAAAACGGGGGAAAAAGATTGATAAAACAATAACGAAAAATACAACAAAAATGGGACAAACACCGGGCCGGGTCCGTGCTGGTTCCGTGCTGGGTTCGGGCCGGGTCGGTGGGCCGGGTGACTCGTGGCCATGTCTAGTCCCAAGTTGCAAATTAAGTTCCATTTTGACTAACAATTTGACTAACGATAAGACAAAAATTACAACAAAAATAAGTAAAGACCATTTTCACAATTGTTCGGACCAAATTTTGGACCAAAATTTAAAATTGGTCTTATAATTTGGCCAAAGTCTAATTTTTCATCCCATCGTTGACCACTTTCAAATTAAGTCTAATATTTTGACAATTTAATCAAATTTAGTCCATTTTTATCCACACCTTGGATAAATACGTGATGCGGCGTTTTTAAATCTAACATGGCGTGATTGTAGTTTATGTGGCAGGATTATGAAATACTGACTTTAAAATTAAATGATCCACATCAGCTCAAGGCTTTAGTTGCATTTAACTATCTTTTTTTTTTTTTAATTACAAAGTAGTCAATAAAACGTAATATATTTTAAAAAACGAGCTCCTACAATCCTAAACTCGTCTTCACCCATCTACCTTCCAGTTGTCCTCGCTGACCGCCGGTCGACCTCCTTTGAATGAATTTATTTTACATCATCTCGAAACTCTTCTCGTCCTTGTTCACCTCCTAAAATCTGTGGCGAAAATACCACAAATAAGGCATCAATTGCTTTGGTCAATGTTTTTAAATATAGAAAATTCTGGTTAAAATTCGGCCTTCTTCAATTTTTCGGCTATTCGCGACAATCCAACGAAATCCAAGGACACATCTAGATTCCTCAGGCCTCTGCACACCCGACGACGTCCACCATCTTCAAAACCGACAATTTTATACTCATTTTTTTCCGACAAGGGAGGGGTTTCGAGCAGAAAAAATTGATGGCTAAGGCGAAGAAAAAACAGATTTTCCGGCAATTGACACTTGAAAATGGGAAACAAAAGGATCAAGATTTTCCAAAAAAAGGATCACAAATTTGTGATTTCCAGGGGAAACAAGAAAAAGAGCAAAGAAAAATAGATGACAGAGTCGGAAAATTGAGCCTCTGCTTCTCGATAGATTAACGATGTGCGAATCATTCTGCTACATCCTGTTGGACCCGCCTCAGTCCCCGACCGATTTGATGCCCTCAGGCGGCGGCGGCGACACCATTATGCACAATATTCAACGCTGTCATCTTAGCCTAACACCTCCACCACCCTCTCCACCACCGCCCCCATGGCATATACCACTGCGAACAAGGCCGTCGCCTTCGAGTGCTTCAATTTCTTCTCCTTCTCCTCCAAACTGCTCGAAGCTTCAGTACTGTGACCTCTCTCAAAATTATTTCATGGGGGAAATTCCGACGAACATCGCCAACTCCAATCACTTCCCCACCTCGAGCTGTCGGCAAACAACTTCATCGTCGACGTACCTCCAGAAGTCTGAAAATTAACGAATCTAAAAACTCTGAATCTCTACAGTAATATGTATTTACTAATTCAATTAATTTTTTAGATTTTGGTTTTAATTTTTTTAATTTCTACTTTGGTATAACTTATTCCACATGGCACAATTGAATTATTAAATACAAATGAAGTCGCCACATCACGCCATGTTAGATAAAAATTACCATGTCACGCCACATTACGTTTTTATCCAATGTACGGATGAAAAATGACCAAATTAGATTAACTTATCAAATTTATGGACCCCTCTTGAAAGTGGTAAATGACGAAATAAAAAATTAGACTTTGACCAATACCAATTTTAAATTTTTGCCCAAATCTATATCTATATAATGGACCAATCCTTATTGCCATAATTGACATGATTTTAGGCGGGAAATTTTGTCGTCTATATTTGACACTTAATTAATATTTATTTATTATCAAATTTTAGGCATGAAAAAACATAATTAAATTTTATACACTCAATTATTGTTACTGATTAACTACAAAATGACTTAAATTGAAATTTTGACAGTAGATTTATTATATACATTTTCAATAAGATCTTATATTAATTTAATAGTTATTATTGGCACAATTCAAAAAATTATTATGAAAATTGATTTGATTAAATATATTATCATTTATGGTTGTAGGTATTAATCTAATTAATTATATTCACTATTCAAATTACTTAAAATATTAATAAAATAATCAATATAACTCTGTTTAAATCATAATAACATAATTAATTATACAAAATACTAATAAAATTTTCTAAATTTAGTCAATTTAACAACAAAAAGGTACATCCCCATTGAATATATCATATGCATTGATAATATTATTAAAAATTTAAATAATATACTTATAAAAATAAAATTTGATGGTCGAGTGCAATTAAGAATTATAAATTTTACCTTAGATGCCTCTAGGTATATTAAAAACCTATTAAATTTTTTAAAAAAAATATTTTTTTTTTCTTATATACTATTTTATAAAAGAAAAATAAGTTAATAAAAAAGCAATATATAATAATTCAAATTATGGCACTTGATAATTATAGAAATATATAATATATCTAACTATTTAGGCAGATACTATGTAATTCACTATATAGGCTGAAAAAATGAATTAAAGAAATAAATATAAATAAAAAATGAGTACATAAAAATAAAATATTTAACCACAAAAAAATTGTGTGTTGCATAAGGATTAAAGTTACTAAAAACTAAAATTTATTTATCAAGGTTTTAATATTTAATGCACTTAATAATTATAGCGGAAGATAAATATTATGAGTTAAACGTTGGTCAATTATCAAATAATGTGCAACTTATGAATTGTTGAAAAATTATAAGATTATGATAGACGACAATTTTATAAGTACATACAAGTAATTTGTATGCAAATGTAATATGATTTCATACATTTACAATATTTTATAATCTTATAAGTAATAAAATTTATATATTAAATAGTAAAAAACTACCAAAAAAATATATAAAAATAAAAATTAACAATAATAGTAAATGAATAAATTTTATATTATTACTGAATAGAATATTGTAGAGAATATAATTTTATATTGTGTGAAATAATTTTATAATATTTAAATAAAAAATATTTTTGTATTGCACCCCGTGCATCGCACGAGTATCAACACTAGTGTTTGCAATACACCTTGGACTAAATTTACAATTTTATCCTTTTTAAAGCTACAATCTCACAATTTCTTTTTTAATCCCACCCTCCTCCATTGCTGAGCATCATTTTGCTCACAGTCAATTTCGTCGGATCCAAGCTATCATCTCATCATTTGCCGGGACTTTTTTTCCGATCAGGAGAGCTAGCAGAAAAAAAAAGAGAGTAAAAGAATTGCAGAGAGCACAAGCCGGAGAGACGAAAGAGGTACGCCAATGGAGGTCGACGGAGGAGTGCCGTTGGATGACAAGGCAAAAAGAATGAGGGATCTGCTCTCCAGCTTCTATTCTCCCGACCAATCTTCTCCTTCTGCTAATTCACCCCTCCGGCCGGCTACTCCTTCCAGATTCGCCACGCTGGATACCATCAACACCACCTCCTTCGACGCCAATCAGTACATGAATCTACTCGTACGCTATTTATTTGTTATGCCTTTTTTTACCTTTCAATTTTTTT